CAAGGCACAGCCTGGGAGAGCATTTGTCCTGCCCATCTCCCACTGCATTGCCCCAGTGAGGGGCTCTGCTGCTGGGGGTGTGTGGAACTGCCCAAAGATGGGCTTTGAGGGGCAGCGTCTGTGCCATGCTGAGCCCTGGCAGCAGTGGTAACTCACATTTAGCCCAACATCACTTCTTGAGGTGGGCTGCTGCCAGCAGGGGGTAACCTGGCACTCCGGGAAGGGCAGGGGGACATTGAGCATGTGGCAGCTGCAGAGGTAGTGATGGCAGGGGTATGTCTGACCTGCTGATTCAGTTTGGAGCTGGATGTTCTGCACGTGGTTTCTAAGCAGTTTTGGAAGGACCTTGCCGCATCTACTAGCAATGATGTGTATTTTCTAAGAGCTTAAAATACATCAGCAAGACTTGTCCCTTGTGTGTTTACTGAAACTTCCCCATCAAGTTACAAAACGCTGGCAGTGGGAGGGAGGCTGTGGAGGACACTTGTTTGACTTCTGCTTGGCAAGAAAGCTGGGCTGCTGAACAGCAAGGATTTTAACCAGAAGTAGGACTAAGCACATCTCTGAACCTGGAGCTCTCTTTGGTTTTCCAATTGTAAGCATGCCCTTGGCATCCCTCTATGCCCAGTTGACTCCCATGGGCTTCCTACAGGAGCATGGAGGAGATTCTTTGAACTCCAGAAAAGCAGAGGGAAATGCCACCAGGTGAAGTGATGCTGAAGGACAGAGGTGGGAATAACAACATGGTGAAGATGAAAACACCTCCGAGATGCCTTTTCTCATTCCGGTGGGGAATGGGAGACCCCATCTGGCAGGAAATGGTTCAACTTACTGTAGGGATAACTTTCTACTCGTTTAATTACCTGAATTGATGCACTGCAGGGTCAGGCTTACCCCTAAACCAGTACAAAGGGAGCTGGAGGAGAACACGAGATCGCCCCTATGACAGTATCTGTTTTTTTTTTTTCCTTGTGGTTCACAGAAAGATGGGATCTGAAAAATGCAAGCACAGCAAATGCTCACAGCAGCTATCCTTCTGCTTGCTTATTTTTAATGTAACATTCAAGTCATTTCAAAGCTGTGATAAATGCACCCCTTCTACTGAGACTCTTCTTCCCCTTTCTCTTACCACGTTGATTTAGTAAGCAGACTTGTTTTTTTTTCTATGACAATGTCCAAGAGGAAATGAGTAACAGAGATGGTGACATCTCCTGTGGGAGATTCTTGGAATCCAGCACAAAAGCAGATCACCAGAGACAAGTAGGAAATACATATAAATGCCCAAAATCCAGGTGGCACAAAGGAGTTGGCTTTAAGTTTGTGTAGCAAAAATATGCATAAGTTTATCATAATCTATGAGGAGACCCAGAAATAGACTGATCTGGGCACCAGAAAACACTGTGTATGAGGAAAGACCAAGAGGATTGACCTTGTTTGGGAGAAGATCTATGATGCAGGAGGAGTAGAGAAGACTGAGCACATCCAGATCCTTCCCTGCAAAGCAGGTTTTTTTGGCTCGCTCCCTAAACAGTGGCAGGGAGCAAGGCAGGAGCCCACAGGAACTGTTTGGCGATGATTCAAAGCCCAGGGATTGGCAGTGGCTGCAGCTTCTCTCAGCTGTGACTGATGAGGTGCTGTTGTCACATTCTGGCCAAAGCTGAAGGCAGCGGTGGGAGGTTTACAAGCAAACCTCAGAAGCACTGAGCCTTCCTAGCAGGGCTCTGCAAATGCTGTCCCCTTCGAGTGTGTCTGATCTGCATGTATTTTTCATTGAAAGCTTCCTTCTTGTAACAGAAAGGGAAATGTGTTTTGCAAAGCTGAATTGCTTGGGGACTTTTATTCCCTGCCCATCTTTCTCTGTTTTCCTCTTACAAACCTGTTGTGCCATGTCGTTCAAAGGATTAGAACACCCTTTCTGCCTGGTTGCATACAAACAGCTGCTTGCCACAGCAAGCGGGAACAAGTGGGGTTTGGGGACAGGAGTGGAGGACAGCCTCCACCAGCCCCAACTGCTACAAGGCAGCAGCTAGCCAGGAGTGAGTCCCGTAAGTGAGCTCCTCTCCATCTTATGGGCTAGCCCCACACCTGCTCTTCACTGCTGGAGGTCTTGTTAATGCTGTTCCAGTGGATTTTGGGTGGGCCAGGAGCACTTGGTGCCCTTCACCATGTGTCTGTCAGGATACCAAGCTCAGGCTCTGCTTTGCCATGAGGGCAGAAGGAGCATGTACCTCCTCCTGCAGAGCCAGGGCCTGATGATTTGATGCTGCTCTGGTCTCACTCAGCTGGTGGTGGCTCCTGTGTAAGGTGAATGCAGCACTCAGACACAGGTTGCTGTTTGGCGCAGCTGGGGCTTGTTCCCTGCTGTGATATTTGTATGGTCCATGAATATGACCAAGGCAGGATGTGGGGGGAAAATATAATGTATTTCTTTTTTTAAAGTAGATTTACTTTTTACTTTCCAGTCACTCAGTTACCAGAAGAGATGCCTTCCTGAAAGTCTTGCACTACTGCCCCCACTTCGTTGCATGTCTTCTGGCACATCCCATTTGAGCACAAATGCATAAGATGTGTATGTATCGTGTTTCTGAACATATCACAGCGTAACCGGAGTGGAGGGTGGAGAACCTCCAGATTGCTTTTGTCACTGCCTTTGTTTGTATAATGCCACCTAGAGGTAGCTGACCTGCTTTAACATCAATTGTTTTGGAAAATATTTTTCACTTAATTTGGGATTCCAGTTCGGTTTGTTGTTTTTTGTTGTTTTTGTTTTTTTTTTTTTTTTTAAATTAGGACTGATTAGTGACTTAAACAATTTGGATGAATGAAAGGAAACTGAGAAGCCAAACACAGTCCCTGGGAGAGCTGTGAAGACAGAACCTTCACTGACATGCCCAGGAGGGAGGCGTCTCTGCATATGTGTGATGGAGACCTCTCTGGTCTTTTCAGCAAGGCCAGGTCTTCCACTCTGTGTGCCCAGTTCTTCCTGTGGTTGTGCCTGTGTTCTTCTGAAGGAGTTAAGCAAGCAAAAACATCCTAGGAAGAAAGGGAGGGCGGGCACCAGACAGTTTGAGGGTAACCACACCACTGGTTCCTGTCTGCATCAAGGCCCTGAGGACATGGGCTGCTCTGCCCCCGGGCTATCCCACGGGCACCCCTGGGGAGCCATTGAGACTGGCCAGCTAACAGGGCTGTGCTGCCCTGCTCAGGAAGGCACAGCTGCTCCAGCTCTGCTGCCAGGCTGGCTGCCTGTCCTTGCCTGCAGCAACATGTGGCAGGGCTAGGGAAGCTGAGGGAGGAGGTGGGATGGAAGTGAAAAAAGGCTTTTACTGATTCATGAATGTGGTGCACCAGGAACACTTGGGCTTGAGCTACCTGAAGGCATTAGCATCCCTTTTCCGAAGCAATGACTTGAGTAGTAAATATGCAACGTCCTGATGTCGGAGTACTCAACACCAGGTTTCTGTATACACAGGCCCTCCACAAGTTCAAGCCATTAATGATGATGTAGGCACTTCACCCACAGGACAAGCCCAGGACTGTATCTGTGTCTAAATTACTATTAAAACCAGTGCTTAATTGTTCAGTCTCTTGGAGCTTGGGCAGGCAGAGATAAAAACAAAAGCCCAAATGTGAAGTCAGTTTTGCTCCAGACAACCACCCTGCTAGGCCATCACCCTTTTGTTTTTGAGAAAGCATCCAACATGAATGGTTGTGAGGCGCCTGCTCTCTGGCCACAATTTCAGTATAGGCAGATACATCTCTAGTAGTCCTGTTCCGCAACATTTTTTATGTTTAAATATCTCACTAAAATAATGTCATATTTTTCAGTTGGATGAAGCTGTGCCTGTATCATCATCACATATAGGTATGGATAATGGCTAAAAAGGAAGCCTACCAACGGGAGAAGCCTAACAGAGGGGAGAAGTTTTAGAGCTTGATTTTTTTTACTGTAGTACACCCTGGAATAACAGCCTGCTGAAACTTCAAGGCATTTCAGACACCATGTAAATATTCAGTGATGATTTATTTTCTGGTCCTTATTATTATTACAAAAAAAAAAGCAAGGTTAAAAAACCAGCAAAGATTTGACAAGTTCCCCAACAGTTTTACATAACTGAATGGCAGTAAATTGGTGAATGTAAAACAAGGCCTAAACCTTTAATGGTGATCTGGGATGCCCTGGGCTTTCCTAATTCTTTTTGAAGTACTCTTCAAGAACCCAACTCACTCACTAGCTAACACGCTGTGGCACAATGCAACAGGAACTGTCAGATATCCTTTAAGATCCTACACACCTAGAAAACAAAATATGGGAGCTCTACAAAGATGGTGTGGGTACCAGCATGCATTTCTCAGATTACCCCAGGAGGCCACACTGTTGTGCTTGACAGAATCACTTTCAAGTTGCTGAAAGGATCTGCCGTGTTAAAGCTGCTTCTTTTTCTTCTCTTCAGGATCTTTGCTCCCCAAAATAAAAAGAATTCACTGGGCTGGGCTGCAGTGTAAATGGACAATCAACCTTCAAAATTCTACCACACTGCATGATGGACAACTTCAGCCCACTGTGACTTTCCTGCTGCAGACCCAGCATCTGACTGATCACAAGGAACCTGAACATGCCATGAGTTGTGAGGTTAAGGAAAATACTCAGCTCTCTGGAATGATTAACTGGGGTTGGAAAGGAGCTTTTGATTTCTGTCCTATTCATGGCTGTAGGTTCAGAGGTTGACTGAAGGAAACATGGTCCACTTACCTATATTAATAGCTGCCCCACTTCTCAAATAATAGTTCTTAAATCAAACCACTGCTTGACTAGCAATAAGAATTAAGACGTTGCCCTACGTTCCTCAGCACTTCCTCAGAAAGTCAGGTCCAAATCTGCCATAATTATACACAAATGCAAATCACCCTAAACATGAACTTGTGCATGTTACTGTAAGTGTCACTGAAATGTTTGTGAGTACCAAATATTCCTGTTAGAAATAAAATTGCACCTTCATAATTTTCCAGAACTTAACAAGAAAGGAGAACATGATATGCATTATTTGTCAGGTATGAAAGAAGCAGTGAGAAGGCAAGCTGAGAGACAGGTGCTGCCCACAGGGCAGCAATGGCATTTGGCTGTTTGGGTTTTGTACCAGCACTTCCCACACTGTGTATGGCAGACAACCACTTGCTGCTGGATTTAAACTGTTTTCCTGGCTGTCAAAACACGGACGATGGACCCTACTCCTCCAGCAGCCAGGGCCTGAAAAGACACACATGGCAGTTAACACCAGGTCAAGGCAGCTACAGGCCAGATCAGAAAGGCTTCCCAATTGTGTTTTAAATGAGCATCTCCCCCACCTTTACATTAAGAGTGAAACACTAGCACTCAGGGTGCCAAGGAAGAATAATCACAATCACTTTAAAGACAGCTATTTAACAAGCTTTTATTTCCCTACATAGCTAAGTTGCAAATCTGCTTCCCTCTAGGAAAGAAATCCTAGTTCCATCTGCTTGAATTACTGGACTGATCCATTTTGTTTGCCTCAGTCTGACAGAAAACCAAATTTTATTGGTAGTCTTTACCCAGGGCACCCTATCAGAAGTAGGCACATGTCATAACTCAGCTCTGAGCTTGCAGGAACACACCTTCCTCCCACCATGAAATACGGCATTGAGTTTTACCAGAAAAAAAAGGTGGTTCTCACCAGGCTCTGTGAGCGTGCCTCAGACCCAAGAACTTGCTACCACAGATAAACCAGGCAAGAGCACATGCTATAAACGCACCTTCTCATGCCACTGCAGCAGCACAGCGCTGCTGTTGTCAGAAGGGCTCTCAAAGCCTTTGTAGATGTACTTCATTAGCAGGTCAACGCCATTCTTGTCCAGTGACTGCACTGCCTTCTCAATATCGTTGGCTTTGAAAGAGATGAGGACCTTCAGGACAATACTTTCTGCACGATCCTGTCAACAAATAAGGAAAGCACAGTTGCATTCGTTCTCATATAAGGTACATACAAACAGTACTCATCTCTCAAACAGAACCATTTTTTTATCAATTCTAAAATATGGTTTCATAGGGCAGTTTGTGAAGAGAGCTTATGATAATAACTGATAAGGTCCTCCCAATGATAAACAGCGTAAAAGTTTAATGTGTTTGTCCTGCTCTAGGTTTTCTGCCTCTCTGCCTGTGTTTGTAATTCTCTACTTACTAAATTAAGTTATGGCTAAACAATAGATTTTCACATCAAAACTCAAGGTCTAGCAACTTCCAAAAGAATTGTAATAAATAAGTACTTGTCTTGGCCTCCCTTCCCATTAGAGCCTTTTCCATGCCTTTGTACCATTTAACATGATACAACTATTATAATCCATGCAAATACCACTGGCCAGACTGAAAGAGCTGACTGCTGGAAGCCACGTGCTTTCAAAGCAGTCAACTTCTGTCTCAGGCACACTGGCAGTATTAATATTTTGCATTAATAACCATTTGCAAGTTGATCTGGATGTCATTTCAGCCCCAGGAATGTGTATGGCATGCCTGCAAGCAGCAATCAGCCATGTAATCTGCAAAAAGCAGCTCTTCCTGTTCATCCATCACTAACTGATGGAGGCTAAAAGAAAAAGGTCTCAGGTTTGTTGGACTTTTGAGTAATTCCACAAATATTTCAAGCAGCTTCCTCCTACAGAAATTACAGACGTCAGTTTTCTTGCCCAATGTAATATCCCATAGCTGCTTGGCTTAGCAGGACTTCTCACATAAAGAACTCCAAGTAAAAACAAAAGTTCCACAAGATCAACTGAAAATAAAGACAGCCAATAAGATTCAGTCACTGCCTTTCACAGTGTATTCTTAAATTCATCAATACAGAGCTAATGGAAATGGCTCATTAATATGAGAACAAAGCTCTTCAATCTGTTATACAGCACTATCAGTAACAAAACTGGTTCTTAAAATCCTGTGAAACCCAAGAGGACAGGGCTGGGACTAGGTAAAATAATCACTGGTGGCCTGGTGAGCAGCATGGAAACATTCCAGTGGGATTCTCCTTAAGGAGAGAGAACAGACATCTGCAGGCACTCACCATCTGGGCAGTTTCACATCCTATCTGCCTGTTCCTATTGCCACCACGAGCATGAGCCATTCAAAGTTTATTCTGGGGAGGTTCAGAAATACATACATGCAGCAGGCTCCTACGTTCTGTCACAGGGGGAGCGCTTGTGTTTTCTGAGGGTTTAATGGCTTAATTTTGATTGGATGTGGTAACCATCAGTTCTTCCTTTTTTGTAGGTTCACAGTCTAGCTGTGCTAGCACAGTTTCATTAGTCAGAGGTGACTACTGCAGTTATGGTTCCCCGACTGTTCAGTACCAACTGCCTCTATGAGCTGCCAGGTCTGGATCACACATGGGCATCTGGTGACATGTGGAGCTAGCCAGGGCACACATACACAACCAACACAGGTAAGAGAACACACAAAACCTGATCTAGCACCAAGTTACAGGGATGTGCGCAGATGACATCCAAACTATAGTATTTTGAACAAGATTAAAACACCAGAGATTATGGCTGTTTTGGGGAATACCCTAAAACCAGCTTCCTTGGCTTCCCCTAAGGCAGAGGGAATAGAGGCAGAGTCTGGTAGAGTTGGTGGGATAGAGGTTACAGAAACAGGAAAGGATTTTTAAGGAGTAACCCACCTTCACTGCCTGGTTCTTTGTGTTGATAGGAGGGTTCTTCAGAGCTGCCTGTAGTGCAGCCATCATGTTCCCTGTGCTAGACAGTTAAGGATCAAACATTGAATATTTGGAAGACAACAAAACCAGCCCCAGAACAGCGATAATTGCAGCTGGCTCGTGCATGGCTGAAAATACTTAGGTTCAGTGGATGCAGCGATTCTCTCAACAGATAGCACGAATTAGTGTAATTGTGACATCGTTCTCCATCACTTCTGCTATCGATAACCCTCGAGACCAGGCCTCAGCTCGGCACATCCACGCACGCACTCCCCAAAGCAGTCCCTGGGAAGCGCTCCTCCACGACCCGGGAGGCCGGGGAAGCCGGAGGTGGAAGTGGACACACGGAGCTCTCTCTCCGCCGCAGGAAACCCCCTTCCTCCATTCCCCCTATCGCCCCATCAGACGCCTCCCCGATACCGCAGCCCCGAGACACCGCCGTCTCCGCCGTGAAGGAGGAAGCGGAGCCGCCTTCCTCCTACCAACCCCAGGTGCCCGTCTCCCTCCCTCGGCGGGAGCACCGGTCACGGAAGTCCTGTAAAAGGCAGAACCGGCTGCCGCAGCGCCCGCTCCCGGCCCGCCCCGCACCCCGGCGCCGCGCCCGCTCCTGACGGGAACGCTCCTCGCAGCCCGGCGGAAGGATATTGCCGCAAGCATGAGTCCACCTCGCCCTCGTCGGGTCCCGCTTGCCCGTCGCCTCCCTCCTCCTCATCCACGAACTTGTTCTCGTCGTACTCGTCCACATCCACCCGGCGAAACCGCGCCGACGACACCGTGTGCTTCGCCATGGTAGACTAGCCAGTCGCCGCCACGCGCACGCGCAAGCCGCGCACGTACCCGCACTCACGCGAGAGCAGGGGGCGAGCCCCGCGCAGGCGCGCTGGGGAGAAGCTGTTGACTGGAGAGGCCGCTGTTTCGCGTGGGGACCGAGATGTTCTTGGGTTTAGTTGCCCCATCTGTGGTATAATAACGAATGTATTGAATCACAAAGTGAAAACAGTGCTCAAAACGATAGGAAGGTTTTTTGCTGCTGCAAGTTACAGTCGGGCTGTGTAGACCTGTGCTATCTACATTATCCTCTTAGATATTTCTTACTATTAGAAAGTTACACAGCTTTGTGAGGTTGCTCTAGGGCAGCAGCCTTAGGGACAAAGTACACACACAAACTCACGCATATCGTTGTGTCCGTAATTCCCCCTGTTATAACGGAAACGGTGGGAAAACTCTGTTCATGTATCAGCCTTACCTGCAGAGCCACCTTGATGGAGGAGGAACTCTGGATATGTTGTGTGTTCCACCCAAGCCGCCGCAGCTGGGAAGCCACAGTCTGCTGTAGCCATAGCGGTTGCCTGTGGGCTGCTTACATTTTTCTGATAGGAACTGGCTGAAGGGCAACAAATAAATTAATAGCAGGAGGTAATCAGAAGATACCAAGGTTTTGGTTTTACTGCTGTGGGTTTATGTTTGAAAGATACAGGACTAAAATAAAAGCATATTCATAATCAATTATTTCAGACTCACAGTTATTCTGTGGGCTAACTTTTGTAGAAGGTGACTTTATTGATGAAGGTCTTTTGCTATCTATGATCTCAGTTTTGCAGCCTAAAAGTGGTTGAATTTGTATTGTCTTCAGCGTAGGTGTCTGCTGCTTGGAAACATTTCAAAATCAGGAGTTTAATTGAATTACTCCTTTGGCATTTTTAAATGCCTTATAATATTTTTAGGTCTGGGGTATAGATGTTCCCTCTGAAAGGGCAGAAACATTTCTGGGAAAAGCACTGAGTGGCTTGGAGACATGGGAGGTAGCAGACTGCCTTTCAGCATTTGAAAAGGCTGTTGAGAGGCTGGGCTACCAGGAGAATAGGCTTTTAATTTCTGCAGCACAGGAGGCTTTCCCTGAATTGCTTGTGGAAAGGCTTTGCTAAAGTGTGGTTTCATTCCTGTCAAATTGTCAATTTGGCGTGGATTTTGTCTATCTGCTTGTCTATCTGTCTTGATGGTTGAGTTTGTTATAAATGTGGCTCAAATAAATTGACGAGAACCAGACCAATGAATTGAATTGGTTTATTGAGCAAGCGACAGCAAGCAAAACAGCACTGAGTGGCTGGGGAGTCTCTGCTCCGCCAACGGCACGCAACCCACTTCCCCAAAGTCACTGGTTTTATACTCTTCTTCATCCGATATACGTGTCACTTCTTGGCATACTCTGCGTCTATGTGGCCTGTTGATAAGGGGTCTCATTCTGCCTCCCAGTGGGTGTGGGGAGGAAGGCTCCTTATCTCCTTCCCCATACATTGCTTACTTTAATGGATGCCTGCGGTCTATAAGCAAAATGTCAAAGTGCCATAATTTTCCAGTAACTCTTAAGCAAGCAAGATTTGATTAACAAACAGTAATTTACTCATCACAATTCCCCTTTTTCTGTTTACCAAAAAATTTGTTCATCAAATCTTTGGAGTTCCACGTGGCTTAAAATTAAGGCGTCTTCTACTGCAGATTCCTTATCTAGTGGCTCATATTGAGCCCTAATGAGCATCAAGTGGGTGGCCTCTAGCCTGTTTTTCACAATTACAATCACTTTGTTAAACACACACGGGCCAAAAGTTAGTCCCAGAATTAACAATATTAAGGGCACTGCAATGGTAGACAGTAATGTAGTCAGCCATGGAGAGTAATTAAACCACGACTCATGCCAACTTTGTTGGGCTTCTCGCTCCCTTTTTTCTAGTCCTTCTCGTAACTTGGTCATGGTGTCCCTTACAATCCCAGTATGATCAGCATACACACAACATTCTTCCTTAAGTGCAGCGCAAAGCCCTCCTTGTTGTAGGAACATTAGGTCTAATCCTCTTTGATTTTGTAACACTACTTCAGATAACGACCGTACAGATTTTTCTAGGGCACTTACGGATTGTTCGATTCTAAGTCCTCATCTACAGGCATTCTTAAGGAGTGAAATTCTTTACTTTGTTTTACTAATGAGGCTACTCCTGTACCTACTCCTGCACCTCCAAGTCGTTAATGCAGTGAAAGGTTCTCATTTAAACAGGTGATGGTCTTGGGCAGTCTGGTGGTCATACATAAAATTTTCAGGATGGTAAAGAATTCTTGGTATTATCATTACTTGGATACAAAAATCTGAGGAATCATTAAACAATTCTAGCGACAGGCAAGGTGTTACACCTATTTTTGAGCAAACCCACTTGGCATTTTTGGCTAGTAATAACCACTTAGCTGTTTTTTTCTGTTTAGTAGAATTTGTATTAACGTCACATAGATGTTTTTGACGTCTTGGAATTTTTTCTACACATCTGCCCTTTCCAATGACCTGAATCAATGTTAGCCCTTGATTTTCCTTTCCCCATGTACATTCTGCTGGGTTAGAACCATTTACATGCCTAGCCTTTGTAGTAACTCCCACCCCTTCATAAAAAGGAAGCTTTATCCCATAACACAGCCAGCAATGTTCGGTTAGGTTGGGATTGGTGGCATTTAACAACTGGTAACTAGCTTCCATTAATTTCCAAAGAAAGTTGTCTCCATTAATGTCCTTAGGATTTTGAGTGTCATTTAATATGAGAATCATTGAGTTGTTGGAAATTATTGTGTCATTTTTAACCCGCACTTCGTCTATTTCAGGAATTTCCTCTGATGGTTTTTCTGCTAGTACTTTGTTAGGTCCTACGGGTTTAGGATCTTGTGGGATTGGTTCCTTCTTTATTAAAATGAGGCCCCCACTATCGGCTCCTGGTTCCTTATATCGTAACCCCCAAGTTTTCCCCGTTACCCACCCTTGGTCGAAAGGGTTCGTTACATTAATCATCAGATGCTGATAGTTTCCCAGTTCGATTCTCCCACGGGGAGCCAATACTATTCCTCCATTCCAATTTCGTTCCAGAGGGGTACATCCATAAGGCCCCCATTGTACCCTTAAAAACCTGTCCGGAGTTCCAGGGACCCAATCTGAGGCTATTGTTTCACATTCCCCGGGGTAATTGCAATATCCTTTTCCTGGATTCGAGCTTGGGCAGAAGTAAAATCCCACACGATCTAAACACGGGCTTCTAGGCACTAGTTGACAGAGGCTAGCAGTAAAAGTGGGCCCTCCTGATGTGATTACACTTTGGACTATTCGTTGATCTTCCCATCTGAACAAGGTCCACCTGAAAGGTTGATGGACATATCCTTTTACCGGGATTAATGTCCATCCCCATATCCAATAGATGATCCAGAAAATTGGTGGGTTACCTCCTCTCATAAATCCGGATTTCCAATCCTTCCCTTGAAATTTGATAGGGGTCTTACTACCCACCTGGCCCATCCACTTAATTTGCGTCTCCTTCCACCCTAAACTTTTGGTGGCTATGGTCCCTCTATATCCCCACCTTAGTACGCCTCTGCTTCCATCGCCTACTCCGTTACCTGGAGCAGCGAGGTCATTTATCTTCTCAGCAGCAGTCGCAGTCTTCAGGGGCTCGGCCATAGTTGAATCCTAATATTCTTGAGGACAGAGTTTAGGGCTCTTGGGTATATGTTCCTCTTGTTCCAATCGTCTCCCTTTTTGGATATAGGTAGCCGCCCTTAAAGGCACCTATGAGCCCACCAATTTTCTGATCCTCAATAATCAATTTCTATTCCTGGTTTTCCTTTGTTTCCACCCAAATCGAATCTTGCAAATTTCAATTGTTCGATCCCAATCCAAAGTTACTACCCTTCCTGCAGAAGTTCTGTGTATTCCTTCTAACATGACCCGTCTGTCAAATCTAAGTATATAATGTCTCTGGACTTTCCCGCAGCCATGTTTTAATTATATTTTATGTCCCTTTCTTCAATGTGATCTTAAGGTCCCCAGGTTGGCTGGTCACTTTCCACTGTACATCTTGAATCAGTCCCTTGACGCGTGTTGCATGGGTCCATCCACGTTCGGCCGTACGAATCGCTGTTTCTGTGGTAAGTAAAACAAGAAATGGTCCCTCCCATCAAGGAGTTAAAGATGCCTCTTTCCATGTTTTAACTAATACTTTATCTCCTGGTTTAATGGAGTGTTTGAACATATTTAGAGGTGGTCTCTGGGCTATCATACCCCGTTTGCGCAATTCTTCCCTTCTCTGCATTAAATGTACGATGTAAGTTTTAAGATGTTCATCCTCTACCTTCGGGTGTTCGGCTGGGAATTCCATATCATATGTCATTCCATACAACATTTCAAAGGGTGATATCCCTACATCAGTTCTTGGCTGAGTTCTCACATTCAACAATGCTAGAGGTAAACTCTTTACCCAGGAAGTTTTAGTTTCTAACATAATTTTTGTTAACTTTGTCTTAATTTCCCCATTCATTCTTTCCACTTGTCCAGAGCTTTGCGGATGCCACGGGGTATGATACTCCCACTTTGTCCCCATAGGAGCTAATGCTTCCCTAACTGTTTTGGAAATGAAATGAGGACCCCTGTTGGAGTCAATGACTTCTATAATCCCATACCTTGGGACTATATTCTCCAGTAATATTTTCACTACACTGCTGGCTGTGGCTCTAGCAGTAGGGAATGCTTCTACATAGTGTGTCAAATGGTCTACTATTACTAATAAATACCTATATCTCCCTACCTTAGGCAGTTCAGTAAAATCTACCTGTATTCTAGCGAAAGGACAGGTCACCAATTCCCGCCCTCCAGGTATTTGCCTTCGTAGGTGTTGTTTATTCACACGTTAGCAAGTCAAGCAACAATCTCCTATCACCTGTTTTACAACATTATGAACTCCAATACACATATATTTTAGGGCAAACTGATCTATTAAGGCTTGGGCTCCCCAGTGTGTGGCCCTATGGAATTCTTTCATAACTTTCCAA